GATGTATGACGATACCAGAACTGAATTGGTTGTTTAACTTCTCTCTATGTAAGTGTCTGATACTTGAGAGGTTATTTATGGTAGAACATTTAATCTTAAAAAACCATATAGCCTCAAATACTATATTTCTTTTTATTATATGGATTATGTGAGACGTATATTTGAAAAACACCCAGACTTTGCATCAAAGTTCCGTGTTAAGAATCGGCATCTGAAGTCAACATACATGAATTTCCTCCTCCTCAAGAGCTCACTGATGATGATCTGGATGAAGCATCTGTTGCAGTGTCGTACGTGGCAAAGGGAGGGCTTAAAGTGGATTGGTTGGAGGAGAAACTCGAGGAAGTAAAGGAAAGGAAGAAGAAAGTGAACAATGGTAAGGCTCGGCTGCAAAAAATGGAGGAAGAGTTGCAGAAACTCACTCAGAAATGCTTAGACCTGATAGCTCTTGTGGATAAGGAGAAAGAAGATGTTGCGGCTGCCAATGTTTCTCTCTCGTTCGATGATGTTGTTTGATGCTATCGTGTTCTCAGAAACTTGTAGTTTGATTCTACTTGGTGTTGTTGTGTTCTTGTCGTCCCAATTTCATTTCTGCAACAGTAGAGGTTGATCATCAACTAGGCAGAGATTCTATGTTTTAGCTTTTTCATGCACTTGTCATTTGATTCTCAGAAACATGTAGGTTTAATTTTACTTGGTGTGGTTAGTGTTCTTGTTGTCACAATTCTTTTCTGCGACACTTAGGTTAATCATCAATTGGGCATTGATTCTAGTTGATCAAAAAACAGATGGTAAAAATCAAAAACTCCAATAAACCAAAATTCATCTCGCAGTTTCGTCGTTCAAGGCCGAACAAAAGTAAAACTCTCTGTACTGAACCACAACGGTCGGATCTTTCTAGTAAAAATTCTAAGAAAACCCGAGTCAATAAACCGTGGCTATCAAGTTTTTCTCCTTTTCGTTTCCTAATATACTCACAGCTTGGGACAAGGAATTAAAGACCAATTTGATATGTACCTGCGACTACTTAGCTAGCGAGTTTCCGGGCATTTTTCACTGCGCCAACGTAGAAATGCAATCTCCAAAGCAATATGTTGTCCTGAAACAGACATTTTGTTTTTTGAAGTTGTGTTATAATCTATCATATGGAAGATCGGTCCAAGAGTCTTATGTCAGATTTTCTGATGCCTTACTTCCTCCTCCAAGTTGACTGTAACCTCATCACGAAATTCTTTCCCTGAAGCTACATAGTGGTCTTTGATGATTCCAGCAATGCGTTTGAGATTTTCTCCAGGAAGCTCCTTGATTGATTTTTGAAGATCTCGCTTCTCGCCTCGGCTCATAGGTCTGCTAATAAGAGTAAACATACAAAACATAAGACCACTGAAAGAAGAATGTCCGAGAGAGAGAGAGGTAAGTGTCTGTATATTTTACCTGCATTTGGTCGCGACATTGTCAAGGAGTTTCTCAAGTTGCTGCTTCATATTGTCGAGCTAGTCAAAGCAAAGAGAAAAACATTACAATTTGCTTCAGACAAGATGTGGATGTAGCTATGTTATTACATCGTTATATGTTACAAGAGCTAGAGATGTTATAGAAGAAGAAAGTTCCTTAGATCATTACGCTGGCAAGTACATCATTGGTATGTTTTCTCTCTATTTCCTCGAAAAGACCAGGATCAGTCCTCCTAAGTATTTGTAAATCGTCCTCCACCTAAGGGAATAGATGTGAGGAACAAAAAGGTTTCATAAACATCTATTGGACGAAGAATGCAAGAACCATATGATCTCACATCCATAAAAGAAGGATCCTCAGGTTTTTTGTTTCTCAATTGAGTCATTGAGCGAGCTCGCGACTGCATCTGCAAACGAATTGCATAATATTAATGCCTCACCACTAAAATCTGAAGCCAAATATGATCAGTGTACCTCTTCAACTTCTGGAATGAGATCCTGCACACACTGCCTTAACAAGGCATTCAGCTTCTCGTTTTTTAGACTTGAGATCTCAGATCCTATAATTTCAGCAGAAGACTTCTTCGTGGCTCCAATTTCTTGATGAGGGATTCTCTCTTCTCGAGACAAGAGCTCTGCTACTTGATCTCTATAGTAACCCACATAGTTTGGTCCATTTCTGCTACTATCTAATGATGAAGGTGCTTCTTCTGCGGCTCTTTTAGTCATACCTGTTGACAATTCAGGTGATACAACAATGCAAATATCAGCACCAGACAAAGATAGAGAACTCAGACACAAGCCACATGTAACAAAAAAAGCAACTCATAACGTCCAGGAACGTTGGACATTATTACACTAAGCCTACATTGTGTATGATCGAAACATAAGCATCCAAATTCTTCCCCTAAAAACCCAATATGTCACTAGGTGAACCATTTCTTGGTCCTGAGATCATGTCCGTTAGTTCAATGCCAAAGAACAACAAAAGTAAGAGATATATCAAATCATTGAATCTGGGGATGGACACAAATACCATGAAAGACTGCAAAAGGCCATGTCCTGATGATTAAAAGAGGCACAGAAAGCGTAATGCAGTAATATTGAGACCATAACATAAGCACACAAATCTTTTCTCAAACTCCATATGTCATGAGGTGAACGATTTCTTGGTCCTGAGATCAACTACATTAGTTCAAAATCTATGATATTCAATGCCTAAGCAAAACAAAAGTAAGAGAAATATCAAATCATTGAAATTGGGAATGGACAAAAACACTATGAGAGACTGAAAAATGCCAAACCCTATGTCCTGAGGGTATAAAGAGACCCAAAAATCCTAATGCAGTAAGGTTTTTGAACATAACTTCAAGAACACCCAATGAGATTCCATCCATCCATCAATTCCATAAGTAAAAGACTCTAAAACTTTGGGAGAGTGATGAGATTAAAGAGAATCTCACAGTGACGCCCAAAAACCCAAACAAATCGAAATCGACCATGAAAACAACATAGAATTGCAGAGAACCGTTGTCAATTCGAGCATCGGAATTTATACATAAGTTTAGGTAAAGTAAAACGAGACTAGACAAGCGATTTTCAAATCACCATTGACAAATAGCGAGGTTTTTAGTTACGGATGCTGAGACAAAACAGGAAAGCAAAAGAGCAGATAAGGAGAAAGCGAGAAGGAAACTCACTCCCCCCGACTATGAAATATAGACGAATCTGAGAGAAATCGCCGGAGATTAGAATCGCAGGCGAACAAAAACCACCGGAAAAAGGAAAGTGAACATTACAGTTAAAACTGTAAATGCAATCAGTGTAGTGGAAAGGAAAGCAAAATACAAAATTTCATTTTCCCGTTTGAGCCCTTTTTGTTTCTCTACTAATTTCAGAGTTGTTTTTTGTTAGACTGTATACTGTATCCCGTTTGTGATGGAGGCTGTCACACTTACACGTGGTGGTGCCTTTTTCTTCACAAGGTAATAGCCTACATGATACATGTGTTAGTTTTTTTTTTGTGACTACATTTTGATATTTTAATTTTGTTATTTATTATAACTTTTCAAGATAAAATACATATTTTCCAATATTCAGATTTTTAAAATATTCAGTTTCAATTATCAGATTTCTAGAAACAAACAATATTAATTCAAAAGTGTGTGATCCAAAATATTCAAATAGCATGTGTAAAATAACTTTAAAAAATATCAAGATTCTCCAATGCGGATTAAACTTTCAAGTTTTAACTACTAGGTGTTTTAGCCCGCGCAAAAAGTTTCAAATACACTAAAAAAATTTTAAAAATTATAAATCCAAAAGAATTAGAACAACCAATTTAAGATATACTGAGATCAAAAACCTAATTAATCCCAAAAAATAAACACCATCCAAAAGTAAACACCCAAAAAATAATAGTAAATAAGTGTATGAAACCTATAACCAATTAAATTAAGATAAATGTGACTTCTTCGTTTTCTTTCTTTCCCTATTTTATACCGTTTAATTTTTCTTTTCATCGTCTTTGTCTTTTTTTATTCTTGTGTCTCTCCTCATTTTACCTTCTTCTACTTTGTCGTCATTGTTTTTCATGTATTTTCCTTCTTGCGCTTCACCTTTCTCTCTCTCCCTCTCTCCATTGCTCCCTCTTTCCCTCTCCCTCACTCATTCCCTCCATCTCTCTCTCTCTCACTCATTCCCTCCATCCCTCTCTCTCTCACTCATTCCCTCCATCACTCACTCTGTCTATCCAAATCTATATGTCTTTAAAGGCTTTTATTTCTCTCTTTGCGTCTCTCTCTCTTCCTCCCTCTCACACAAACTTTTAAAACAATTTCCTTAAAAGTTATTGATTCACACGGGATGTACTCCTAGTTTCTACTGCAATAGAACAGTGTTGTAGTTGTAATATAAAGGATTCGGAATCCAGAGGACCACTGTTACTCTATGACTTTGCGAGGATTGAATTAAAGCTAAGACGAAAGATGGTTTGTTTGTAACGTTAACGACAAGTAAAACAAGCTAAAAACGATTTCAATTTAAATTTAAAACAAGCACTAGATCAAGGTAATTCGCAGGAGTTTCAGAGATGAGAATCAAATGACTATTCAAGGCACAACTTAAATGCAGGTCTCGAACTCAAACATAAAAGCTTATCGATCCACTGTCGTGATCTCGATAACTTTATCTAACAACCTAAATTCTAAACTGTCGTTTGAACTTAGAAAATTGCAGACAAGCATTAACAAGCAGGTTTGATCTGTTCACGATTTGCCTTAACTTCAACTGTCGTTGGCTAAGGACAAATCGCTCACCAGTGTTTATTCTAGCAACCTATTACACTTTTGATGAATAGATCAACCTATGAGCGTAAATTGAATGGCCAGTTCAACCTAAGCGTTAAGTCTAACAAAGGTGAAGACAATCGATTTTAAACCCTATTTGCATCCAATTCTCTAACTCATGAAATCCTTTGAAAACCTTAATCTAGCTAAGAGATCTACTCAGACATGGAGAAAAGAAACACAGCAACAGATGAAAAGGAATTCATGAATTAAAATCGCAGAAGAGATAATAGGGTTCAGAATTCTTCTCAGAATGTAGCAGGAATTCTTCTCCCAATTGCTTACAAGCAGAAATCTCTCAAAACTCAAGCGTAAAAAGTCTGTAGAAAAAACGTGATAATAAAACACAGGCGGCTCTGGGCTTTTTATTCCATCTCACGCGACTTAGGATTAGGTAAAATCGTTTCCTTATTTTTCTCCAAAGGTTGGAGCAGGTGCTCCACGAAGGGTCCAAATCGGGAGCAGGTGCTCCGCGGATGATTTCTCCTAGGGCTGGGCGTTCGGTTAACCGATCGGTTTCGGGTCGGGTTATTCAGTTTTTCGGATTTTCGGGTTTAGATTTTGAAAACCATTCGGGTTTTTGAAAGATTTCAGTTCGGTTCGGTTCGGGGTTTGTCGGATTCGGGTCGGTTTGGATAATAATTTTGGAAACCGAAAATAAACCAAAAAAATTCGGTTTCGGTTTAATCGGTTTAAAATTTCTATGTAAATCCGAAAAATCCGAAAAAACCGAATTATTACAAAGAGAAACCGAAACATGATTTAACAAAATCATAACTTCAAAGTCTTCAATTTAGAACTTGAGTGACAATCTCCCAAAATATCCATAGTACGTTCAAATTTTTAAAAATGAAAGCTAAAATCAACAAACTCCAAACCAATACATGCTTAGTTCATACTAAAAGAAACAATACCAAAAGAAAAGAACTAGAAGAATTCTGCCCTGAACTCTAGTCTCCAACTCGTGAACTCCAAAACAAGTCTAAGATGCATCTGAAGAAACAAAAACCGATCACAACTAATGTAAAAACAAAAAAAAATGACATAAGAGAACAAAACCATAATAACAATTTGATATTACTTACACATGGTTGATGGTAGAAGACTTGAAGTGATTGAGATATTGAGATTCAGTCTTCTTTTTCTATTGGATTTTCATACTCAAACTCTAGACATACAAATGAACAAGGAAAAAAAAAAGTTAAAACATCTCAAGTGATAAATGAATACAAATAAACAGAGATAACCTCAACATACCTTTCATCAGCTTATCCAAATACTCATATTCAGAAATGATTTGCTCTTTCTTCACCAAGCCAGATTCACTCTTAAACCGAATTTCCTGCTTCATCCACTGCTATGTACACATCAAAACCTCCACCATATAATGTGTAAGACAGCTTCTATATGGAGTTATAATTCGTCCACTAGTGCTAAAAGCACTCTCAGAAGCGACGGAGGACACTTGCATTGCCAAAACATCTTTAGCCATTTGTGAAAGTATAGGATACTTAGAACTGCTTGTCTTCCACCAGTCTAGGACGTCATACTCTACACCAGCTATTGTGTCAGAAACCTCAATACTCTCCTTAAGATATCTATCTAACTCGTCCCTTGTATCATTCACTCTGGTCTCTGCAACCATCTCCTTGTAAATCGAATCCATCCTCTCATATCCAAGCCCCAAATCATCGTCCATCACTTCCATTCTGTCCTGTGATTGTGAGTGCTCTGATGATTGTGCCTGGGAGGATTGCGTGTTTGGACTTTTCTCATACCTAGAACTATACTCATCATACATTGCTCGGAGAACAATAAGGACAGAAGCATTGAGCTCTTTCGCATCTTTGCTGCCTTCGCCGTAGAGTCTCGCAAAACACATATTAGCTAAGTCCATTTTTTTCCTTGGATCAAACACTGATGCTATTATAAGCATCTTGTTCAAACCCTTCATTCCATCCCAATACTTGTCAAATTTCAGCAACATTACTTTAGCCTTTGCTGCCAAATCTTTATCTATACTATGCGTGAGGTTCATCAATGTTTTCTGGATAGTGACTATTTCCCCATAACACTTATACGAGTTCAAAGTGGTCGAAGCTGAGACTACAAGAGTAGCATCATAGAAGACAACCAGAAAACGTACTAACCTCTCAACATTATCCCAGTCAATTGCAGAAGGAGGTCCAACTCTTTTGTTCTCATTAACCTCCTCCGTAAAGTGATCAATATATAACTTGTCCTCCCTGGACATCTTATCAAATGCAACCCTATACTCCAAAGCCTTCTTAAGCATTGTGTAAGTAGAATTCCATCTAGTTTTACAATCCAATGGCAAGCTTCCCCGTGTCATCTTACTGGAGTCTACTCTGAGTTCAAACGAACTTAACCTAGTCGTTTTCGATCTAACATAGCAGATTGCATTGCGGATTGCACTCACACTGTTATCTATTTCAGTTAGACCATCGTTCACAATCAGATTGATAATATGAGCACAACACCTAACGTGAAAATAGTCACCACCCAACACAAATGCATCTGGACTTCCTAACCTAAATTCAGATGTAAACCGCCTAAGAGCAGAAGAGTTGGCCGTTGCATTATCAACTGTTGTAGAGAAGACCTTATCTATACCCCATTCAGCTAGACAGTCTAAGAGAACAGAGGAGATTGTCGAACCTTTGTGATCTTGAACATGCTTGAACCCGATGATGAACTTCTTTAGCCTCCAAAACATGTCCACAAAATGAACTGTAATCACCATATAGCTAGCACCTGTTCAATAGAAAAGAGAAAGAGATGTTACTCTAGAATGATAAAAAAAAACGATGTTACATTTTCAAACAAACAAAAAGATGATTGCACTTTAATAAAAAAAAAATACTTGTGGGTTCAGCAACCCATATGTCTGTTGTCAAGGATACACGTTGCTTGTTTGCTATAAAAATCTCCTTCAGAGCTCTTCTCCTAGTCACGTACATTTTCACAATGTTCCTAGTAGCCGTCCTCCTCGATTGAGTCGTGTAGAGTTTGCATTTTTCGCAGAAATGCTTCCAAGCCATGCAATCAACAAAACTTAGTGGTAACTCCGCAAGCACAAGCATCTCCTCCGTTGCTTCCCTGAATAATGCCTCAGATACTCTCGCAACACCTAGACCACCAGAAGTATTCAGTACACTCTGAGATTGTCCGTGACGTTGTATCTGACCATCTCTCCATGCTAGGAAGTGCTTGCAGATTGTAAGATGGTTCTTCAAACTCGAGCTCCCTGATGTTGTCTTACACTTAAAGACCTTGTGACAGTAGTTGCAAGTGCACCTGTCTCGGTCTTCTTTAGTCCTCGTGTAGTGCTGCCAAACTTCAGACTGAGGATCAAGAAGCTTCATCGGCTTCGGTGGCTGAGAAGCTGCGTCTTTTTCCATTTGCTTTCTCTTTCCACGACTCGCAGGTGTCGTAATCTCTTCTTCATCAACATCTATGTATGGACCATGCATGTTCTCTCCGTCGGTGTTAAATGTTGTTGATTCAGATGATGAACCCATCTAAGAAAAATAAACCATAACTCCATCAGTTAGCCATCAAAACAAACATATAGAATATAGAATCTATGATCGATACAAGGACCGAACCACAACAACATAAGCAACAAAAAAAGCATATTTCAAATCTATAGTTATACTGAAATTCAAATACATCACAACGTAAGCAACAAAAAGAACTTTCCAAGGAATTAGAAAAAACAGAGCACAAATTGTTACTTCAATATTTTAAGTCGATAGCTATAAAAAGCTTAACAAGCACATGGATTTGTTTAAATTGATTTTAAGTCAATAACTCAAAGAAGAAATCAAAGAAACATCGTTGTAAAATTTCACACATCAAACCAGCTGTAAGGCAGTAAGAGAAAGCAAGAGCAGCTGTTTTCCATGTGCAAACAAACGGACCAATAACATGAGGAAACAAACAAGAACTCAAAGAAAAAAATGAAAAAATATCTCCCAAAACTATACACCAAAGACAACAACATGTACGAGCTAGAGAAACTTGGAGAATCCAAAAACAAAAACCACATCAAACACTTGAAGAATCAGCTAACTTTAATCGGAAAAAAAAACTTGAAGAATCAAATCAGCTAATTTGAATCCAAAACGAATTCAACAACAACAAACATGAAAAAAAAGATGGGAATAGAGAAAATCACCTGAGATTGAATTCTAGACGACTCAGAATTCGGAGAGAAAGGGTTTTGAGCATGAGACTCCAGATTGAAATATTATTTATCCCCAAATCGATTTTAGGGTTTGAGAGAATATCGGGCAAGTTTGAGAGAATATTAGGGAAGAAAATATCTGAATCATCGGGTTTAATTTATGTTTTCGATCTCAAATTTTGAAGAATGGAATTTCGGTTTAATTTCAGATTTTGTTCGGTTTTTGAATTTAATCCGAACCGAACCGAAAACCGGAAGATATCAAAACTAAAATCCATTCGGTTATTTCACCTAAACCAAACCCGATCCGAACCCGAATATTCGGTTCGGTTTCGGATAAAAAATTCGGTTCCAGGTTATGTGCCCAGCCCTAATTTCTCCAAAAGCGTATGAAATAGCTCCTTATTGCTCAGATTCATCTCCTTTTGCTCAAATGCCTTCTAAACACTCCAATCCTCTGATAAGGTCTCTAAGTCACCTGATACTTCCTGAAAAGACTCCAAAAACTCCTAAAACAATTAGTAAACACAGGTTAGAATGAGCCAAAATCTCCACTCATCAGTTATGTAGTTAACACAAGACTCACTGTGAAGCTAGGTAACCTTTCCTATCACGTGTACATGTAATTCTACTAAATGTAACCTAAAATACCAAAAACAGATTCATGTTACCACATCCAAACCATCTATGTTGTCCATGAAATTCACTCGACCAAAGTAATATGTCGCAACCAAATCCAATCAGGCTGCCAACATCTAAGGTTGCTATTTGTGGCTGATGATTTGTGACAAAAATTGCTAGGTTTTCTTTCTTCAGTTTCTTATACTTTATTTTCTTTTTAATGTTTTGGAGATATTTTTTGTAATTCAAAACATATTAATAGAAAAAAATGAACCTTCCCTATAGTTTAGCTTGGATTTCATTTTAATTTAGGTATTTTAATAGAAAAGATGAACCTATATATTAATACAAAAAGTGCAGCACAACACTCTTCTTCCTTCCGTTAGATATATCATCATGCAAACTAAAATTTTTTTATAGAAGACTTATACAATATATCGATCATATAATAGATTAGCCAAAGAATTAGAACTGGACATGTGTTTTTAATCGTTGCACATTGTTATAATATCGACTACAAAAATCTCTAGCAACCAGGAATGAAAGTGGAAGCTTTGGCTATTTTCATTTGCCTTGCGAACCAAGTCTTCTTGGTATGATACACTGATCACCTCTGTGTAATTGGTCAGAGAAAATATTCACCGATTACCTCTGTGTTCTTCATTCTTCTTCCCTCCCGTGGAGCTTAAGGCCACGACTTTTTGGCTATAAACTTCCACTTTTACTTATTTTCGATAATCTATCTCTTTCCCTCTCTAGTGTCTCCCACTTTTTCTTTGCATTTTCCCAGTTGAAAATACTCCATGAAAACTAAAGGTTTTGTCGGTCATAAATAGATAAGACACACGATTTAATATATCACTCTCGCTCTCTCTTGTTTGTCAAAAGACGCCCACCAAGTGGGAAAAATATATATATTCTCTTAATTTGAATGTTGAACAGTTGAAAGTTTTCTTTTTGTTCAACCAATTTTGTTAACTTCTCTATTTGAATTTTTTTTTAACTCTTTTTCTTCTGATGGGTTGTTGATCAACTTTGGAAACCAAAGCTAATTTCTGATTCAACCAAAGCTTTTCCCTTTATTCCCCTTGATTTGATCGTATGATTACAAAAGCTTGGTTTCTCCACAAAACCTGAAAAAACTGTCAGATCAACTATGTGGCTAAAGATAAAACCCAGAAGATACGCTAGCTTGTCCTCTGTTAGAAGCTTATAAGCTTGCAAAATGATTTAGAGATCATTTGCGTAATTTAACCTATTGACGTCTTGTCTCTCATCTTGGCTTTAAAGAAATCCCAAATCACTTCTTTTTTTTCTCCTTTCACAGTTTTTTCGGCAGTCAAACTGGTCTAAAACAAGCTTTTTTATAAAAAAAAAAAACTGAATATTGGCATCGAAAGAAAGTTTGTCTGAAAATTAATTACTTCTGCTGCGACTTGCAACACTTGTATGGCTTTGTTTAAAAGAGAACAATACCAGATGAAATCCAGATACAATCGTTGTTGTCCTTCAGGGAAGTTTGGTATTCGGAAGAATTACAGATACTTTACTCTGCAGTCTCTTTATTTGTTTTTTAAACTCTAAACCATTGTTTTTGTTTTTTTAATATACGGTATGATAATGGTTTGTTAACTTAATTTAAACCATTATTTTCGTTTTTTAATATATATTTTATAAAAAATGTTTTTTAAACCCTAAACATTGTTTTTGGTTTTTTTAATATACGGTATGATAATGGTTTGTTAACTTAATTTAAACCATTATTTTTATTTTTTAATATATATTATTATAAAAATTTAATTTAAACTAATCTAAGAAAGGGTAAAGGGTAATTAGCCACTCTAAAATTAAATGAGAGAACTTTAAACGAAATTTTTACTTCTTATAATATATATGAAGAGAAGAGAGACAAGCTATGAAAAGAAGTTATGAGTCTTAAAAAAAAAAATTAAATATCTTAAAATTGGCCTATAATTTTTCTATTGTTATCATTTTTTTTTTTGCTTAAATTATGATTATTATGACTATGTTTTACTGGTCTTTTTTTTTTCTTACGTTTTTTCAATTAGGGTGTCTGCACCAGAGTCATTCTCGTTACCAATTGATTCCTGATCAGTGGATAAGCAAAAAGGATATTTTGTCATATGTTAGACTGAAATTTTCTTATTTTTACTCTTAATAGCAAAAATATAATAAGAATTTTCTTTTTCACGTTCTTTAACTTACATAAAACTTGACGATATGGAAAATAGCTTATCTCATTTTCACAACACCTTACTGTACTCAAAGAGCTCTTTTGTTATTTTTTAAATCCAGAAACATAGACTTGTAACTCGGTTGCTCCAATTAAAAAATCTCTCATTGATACAACAAATGGGTTTAACTTACCGTTCACCAAGTCCTTAAACGCCCGGATCACTAATGGCCACCACGGTAGCTTCCATCATCACGAGGTTGTTGCTTGCGGTGGCTACCGTTTTGCTCTTCTGGCTAACAAACCTCCTGCAATAAAGAGAAAGCCCATCGACAACAAAGAAAACCCATGAGAAGGTCTTATATGAGAGAAAGATTGAGCATCAGTTTCCCAAACAAAAACCATTTCCCTTTTGATTATATCCACTTACGGACGCGCTTCCAATGAGGGGAAAACCGTGGAAAACGTGGCATTGATAATCGTGGAAAACACAGCATCGGTCCGAGTATTCCAGTCGGAACGCTTGCGCATATGCATTCGATCAGGGTGAACGTCATGCATGGATTCTTCTTCTCTCGCCTCTTGTACAACAAGAGATGCTTTGTTTTTTTCTTTTGTTTTTTCACATTATTAGGTTATGTTTTGGGCTATGTATCGATTCAGATTAGTTTTGATGAGAATTTCAGATTCATTTGAACACAAAGCTTGATTACAATGTTATAACTATTGTACATTTTGAAGAGACAAAACTAAAGAAAAAACTAGTAAAATACTACGAGAAATATTAGAAAAAAAATGAGAAAAAGTGATAAAAGGTAGTAAAAACTAAAACGAGAGGCTCAATTTATATATATATATATAATATTTAAAGCGACTACTACCAGAATTTTATTTAATGTAGCATTTGGAGAATTTCAAATTCATTTGAGCACAAAGCTTGACTATAGTGTTATATATATATTTTGAAAAAGCAAAAGTAAAGAAAAAACTAAGGAAAAAACTAGTAAAACGTAATAGAAATATTAGAAAAAATAAGAAAAATAAAAAACGTGATAAAAAGTAAAAAAACGACAGGTTCAATTTCTAGATTTTTTTTAAAAAAGCGATTAGTATTAATACAACAGTAACAATACAAATGTGTACTCGATGTAGCATTTGGAGTGATTTAATTCGTATTAAAGTCACAAAGTATATATGCCATTCTTACATGCATGAATTTTAAAAATTCTAGTAAAATCTCATGTTATTGAGCTAATGATTTGAAATTATACCTTCAAATCCACTGTTATTGGAAAAATAGAAATAAGTAGTGGATTTTAGGGTATTTTCAGTGATTTTAAAATGTTTTATAAATTACAAAAAAAAAAATCTCATGTTTTATTAGGTGAGATTTCATAAAATTTTAATAACAAACCTAACTAATTCACTCAAATCATCTAAAAACTCATTAAAACTCAAAATTTTCAAAATCCTCTTAAATAATACTCCTTCTATTCACAAGTATTTGATGTTTAAGGGTTTTGCACACAGATTAAGAATGCATTTAATTTTTTTTTCTATACTAAAAATATTATTTATAATTCATTTAAATATTATTCAGCTAATAAAAAAACAATCTGTAGAATATAAAAGGTCAGAAACAATAAAACTTCATTAAATTTTATATTGAAAAGTGAAAATATCAAATAATTCTGAAAAAAAAGCCTCCTAAAATATCAAATAATTCTGAAGAGAGGAAGATTGAACACATTCCTTAGCCAAAATACAAGTTAATTCGTAACCGTGACTCGAAACAATTCTTAAAACTTCACTTAGATGATTTGTGACATTGTGTGACTGACTGAATCTGATTTAAGAATTACTGTTCAATAAAACGTAATTAGATAGTCAAGGTGAATCGCGTTCGTGAATCTTTCATTTTTTTAATAAGCGAATCCTGTACTTGTGATAACAACATAGAGCATACGACTGAGTTCGATCCAAACCAATTTAATTTGGATTGGACCAATAACTTCGAATAAACAAGACCCTCTAAACCAGCTAGAAGGTTCTACTCATATAGTAAACACAAAAACAAAAAGAAAAAAAAAACGTTAACCTCTACATCAAAATCATCAACTGAGATTAGTCTTTGCAGATGAATGGAACCAACAATAGAAATCAGGCTTTGTGCTCACGGTAATGAACAATGGCTTCAGGTTTAAGACGACCTATGCAGATTTGGTGAACTGTTGAAAACAGCGGAAACATCTCGAGCCATCCAGAGTGGTTCAGGAATCCGTAGACCTCTTTTGCCGTCGAAACACCCTTTAATTATAAGCAATCAGTTAAAGAGATTAAACAGATAGTTTCTAAGATAATATGTTCTGTATATATTTGGTGTCTACCTGTAGCTTTTGCCCTTGTAGCATCTCTGCTTCAAGCTCATCAAAAGACCTGTAACATTTCCATACAAAACAACCATCAAAACACTAACTATAAGCAGTTGAAGTGACCCGGAAATAAAGGTTAAACCTTTTTCCTCCGCTTTGGGCAAATGCTTCTGCAACTCTCCGGTTTCTTCCTCCTACTGTAATAGTCAGTCAAAAGAAGAGAGAAGCTATGATCAAGAGAGCAATCACTGTTACAGTGGACAAAAAGAAATCAAAGATAGCTCAGGTTTTGTTTAATCCTTACAGCAAGTTGTTATAACATCTGCTACACCGCAGCTCTCCAAGAAAGTACTGTCTTTAACAGATGGAAACATAAGCTTTGAGAGAGCTTTCATCTCTCTTAGACCAACCCTCATGATTGCAGCCTAGAGATGTTTTAAAAGTAGATAGCTTTAGGAACTACTTTAAAGGAAACACTATACAAACTTTCATTTAACTTACCTTAGTGTTATTACCCATTTCCAAACCATCCACGAAACCCGCTGCTATAGCCACTACATTCTTCAAGGTCCCACACAACTCTACTCCTTCAACATCATGGACCTATTTTTAACACAAGCCTTATTGTTACTGACCAAATTCTACAATCCTAAATGGCAACAACTTCAGCCATTTCAACAACCGACAATGAAACTAAAGAAGCATGAGAATTTCTCACCGGTGTGACAATGAAATACGGAGTACTAAACAATTGAACCCATGTGTCAGCTATCTCTCTACTCTCTCTATATCCAACCGTTGCCTCGCTAAACTTCTCCTCAGCGATCTGTATTATACACCGACACCAATGTGAGACCAGAACGTACCAAAAAGTAGCAAAATTTGGATCATGCAAAGAAGAACAAAACAAAAAAGGAAAAAAATATCGATGTAAGAACCTCTTTGGCAATGTTTGCGCCCATAAGAACACAGCAATTGATACCGAGTTGCTTGGAAATGAGACTGGAGATCATACAGGGACCTTCCGTCTTCACTTCCATTCCTTTAACAAGAGATATAGCCTCAACAGCTCCTGTTATCTTTCCACTTAGTTCCTTGCATATACCATCCATGAACTGATGCGGCGTAACAAAAACCAACATGTTTGCTTCCTTCACTGCATCGGTTTTAAACCCATCAATTTAAAGAATCAAAATTTGGATCATCTACAGGACAAAGCTCATCACTGACCTGCATTTTCAAGGTCAGGATCCGCAACAACATTTGTTCCTAGCTTAATCCCAGGGAGGTACTTGACATTTTCCTGATAAAGAAACCAAAGACAATAATTACAGAACAAAAACTAAGAAGAATTGAAAAAAAAATCAATCAAGAACCAAGATCATCCATTTCTCCTTACATTGGTCTTGTTGATTACATCAGTGAGCTTCTCACCATTTGGTAGAACCTCCTCAAACACCCACATCCTCACTTCATCTGAAAATTCGCAAAATGATTCATCAAAACCATTGGCACAATTCTCCTCACGAAAAGCAACGATTTTTCCCCGGGATTATCAATTCTAACAGATAAAAATCTGTTTTTTTTTCAGCATTGAGATCATAAAACGACACAAAGAGAAAGACTTTAGAAACCGATTCAATTCTCTTCATTCGATTTCAGATTATTTTTTGGCTTTAGAATTCGTTTACCGTGAAAAGAAGGGAGCTTGAGGGCATTAGAAGCAATGAGCTTAGCAGCGACACTTCCCCAATTCCCACTGCCGATGACAGTAACCCTAGATTGCGAATCGCCATTGCCGGCTTCTCGAGCAGGAGACATAACGGAGAGAGAGGAAGAGAAACGAGAGAAGAAGGAAGAAGGAGAAAGAGAACGTGGAGACGAAGGGAAGAAGAAGATAGAGAAGAATGATGAAGGGCTTCTTCTTCGCATGGAAGATGGAGATTGAGAGGGGACACGTTAGCGAAAGGAGGAACGTGTAACTGTAATGCCTTTGGATTGATTTGGAGAAGCCAAGCCGCCATGTTTTTTTTTGTTTTTGTTTTCGATGGTTGGATCTTACGCGATCTGCTCTATGTTGTTCCTTCCTCTTCCTCTCTCTCTCTCTCCTTTTCTTTTTCATATAGATATTTTTCTATTTAATATCTTCCCAAAAAAATATTGCATGAATTTAACTTTACTAAAATAAATAATATTTTGTTGTTTACCCCAAAAAAAAGAGCACTGATATTTTTGATATTTTGGTGTTTCAAAATATAAGTCGTTTTGGAATTGTATCATTCTTGGTTTCTAATATAAATCTTATATATAAAAGATGGATAACTCTTTTCATATGAATGTCACATCACTATTTTAGAGTTAATACAAAGATGACATGTATCAATTTTTAATTTAAAATTACAATTTTTTTAAAAAAATAATTATTAAATTTTAATATTAAATTTTTAACCACTTAAAAAAATAAAATTTTCTTTTATTAATTGATTCCTAAATAACATTTATATAAATATTAAACAAGAATTTATGTTATAATTTAATTAAAAATATTGATGGTTTTTGTAGAAACTTTTAATTTTCTAATAATACTAGGTGTTTTGTCCGCGCATTTGCGTAGGCTAAAAGGTTTCAAAAAATAAAGTGAAGAGAATTAAGACAATCATTTCATACTTACGTGATCAAAATAAATCAAACTCAAAAAAATAAACATCATCCAAAATTAAATACTTAAAATTTAATATTAAATAAATGTATGTAACTCAGAACACAAACTAATTGAATTAAGACAAATGCAAATTTTCTAACTCCACATAATCGTTCTCCATTCTTCTTTTTTCTTCTTCTTTATCATTTCGTTTTACTTTTTCATTATCTTTTCCTTATTTTTCATCATCATCTTCAACTATTATTTCTTCCTTCTTTCTATCTTCTTCTCATTTTTTCTCTTTCTTCTTCTTCTTCTTCTTTTCTTATCATCTTCAACTTATACTTCTTCTTTCTCATATACATCTTTTAATTTTCTTTCATCTTCCTTTAAATAAATAAATGAAACCCACAAACTAACTGAACTTAGACAAACATGAGTTCTTCATCTCCAAATAATCGTTCGTTGGCATCTTTCTTTCTCTAATTATCTTTTGGTTTTTCTTATTTTTCAAATTTTTTGTATTCTTCTTCATCGTCTTTTCCACCGTTATCTCTCCTTCTTCTCTCACATTTTTGTTTTTTCCGAATTTTTATTCTACTGGTTTTTTTCGTTTTTTTCTTCATCCTCACATTCTTTTATTTTGTCTTATTACTCTTCATCTCCAAATTCTTCATCTTATCCTCCTTTAAGATCTTCCTCCAATTTTTTCTCTTATATATATTTCCCTTCTCCCTTTTTGTCTTCTATCTTATGGTTTTTTTCCTTCTTCTTTAATTTCATATTCCGATCACTCCGATTATTCTTCCTTTCTCTAAATTCTTCATTATATTTTAAATGTCTTTATCATATCCGTTTTCTGATTTATATTTTCCCTTTCTTAGTCTTTTTTTTGTATTTTTGAGTTGTTGTTTTCGTCTTTATCTTCAACTTGTTCTTAACCTAACCTAACCAATTCGCAAAGTGTACGGCAAAGAAAAAGTAGACCTTGAATGAGCAAAAAAATGTAGACCTTGAATGAATAAGACGGTGAAGAAGAGTTCGAATAATTTGCAATCGGTGGAAAATGATGGAGAAAATAGCTGATAAATCTATAATGATAGCTAGGGTTTACTCGATTGATACAAGGATAATAACATAATTCGATGTCAAGTATAATAACGCATCTTTTTGGATGATTTCTCACGTGGCGGATACATAGGTTTGTATCACTTTTCTTTTGCCAACTTAGCAATGAATCAAGAATCAAAAGCAAGCCTTTGCTTTCAAGTTTAAAATGTTTATCTTCAGAAGGAATATTTGACATGTGACTCTATTATTCATGAAACTACTTTGAACAGATTCTCTTTTGACTTCAAAGAGTAGGTTACCTTGTGGAATACGTATACTTTGTTACCAATCCCAAAATCGACTTTAACGAATTCGTAAACCATTTTAGAGAAATTAACACACACAAAAATACAATTTTTGTCTGAAAATAACTGTCTTTTTCGTTTCATACAATTACAAATCATCTTAATTTGCCACCGCAAAACCAGATATTGGATTACAAACGCAGTGAACAGAGCTTTCGCATGTCATGTTCTTTTTCATACACTGAATCATTGCAAACCGAAGCTAACAACAGAAATACCAGCTTTCAATATTCAGACACGAGTTTTAACATTTTTCACTTCTCATTTTAATAATCAGAAACCAATTATAACAAATAAAAATATCTGAAACTCTGTGATATCCTCTTCTTCATTTCTAATCACTGTCCCAATTCTCATCACTGTTTCCAGTCTTCATCTTCGAATTGTTGATACCATTTCCTGAACTATTGTTCCTGAACTCGGTTCTTTAATGCTGATATTGTTCTGTTTTCATCTTCGTCCTCATCGCTTCTCAGAAAAATAATTAGCCGGTGCAACTTTTTCATCTTTGAATCCAACATTGTTTATCAAGATCACTCAACACATCTTTATCACTCCTTGCTCGAGTTTGAGGATCAGTACTTCTTCTCTTAAAATTCTCTCCCTCCTTATTGTATTTGTTCTAGCTCTATCAAATCTCTTTGATCCCTGTCATCATCATCATCTTCATCACTATCGTTGGATCTCCTCTGTTTAAGTGTGTCCCTTTCATCTCTTCTTCTAATTAAAGCCATGACTTGAGTCTCCATAAATACACATGTTAGGTCATCTGCTTCTCTGCAAACTCTTCTGGGTTCCAATACCTTATTCTACCAGACTCTTCTTGATCTGCAGCTTCCTTTTTCTTCCACTCATTGTCTGCTACCTCTTCTATCTCAGCTATGAATTTGTCTAGCTCCTCCTGTTCACTATCTTCGCAGCCGGTTCTGATTCTTTTGCATTTTGCAATGCGGTTCTGTGTACTTTATGTTCAGCTTCTGAGATTCAAGCATTGTTCAAATCTCGTTTTAATTAATGCCTGCATAACATAAATACTTGTTCATAGGATACCAGTACAAATAATTGTTACGAGCAAGCTACACTTTAATGATTCTTAAATCTAAAACCTAAAGATCAACCAAAGTCTAATTCCTAATACTGATATCAACTAAAGTATCATTACAATCGCATAGAGTAAAATAGTAGAATTTTTTTAAGATACTAAATATCTCGTGATACACCCAAATATACAACTCGTTAGAACAGAAAGGATGAACACTCCGGGTAAATATCTCTAGATCTAAGAGGCACCTACACGAACCAAAAGCCAAATTAGTCGATCTATTAGGTGATGCCCTAGAGAAAAGATGAACGAAGTATTTATAGTCCACAAAATAATCTAGGGTTTTGGTAACTAATCCACTCGGGTTTAGCCCTCTAAAAATTTACAGCATTAAACGACCCAATTCCTAATGAAACCGATTTAAAAAATTAATAAATTAAACCAATTAAAAGGGTTAAATAATATTTTGGTGAGGGACAAAATGATAATTAACCACCCTGAAAAGAATTTTTAGCTAAAAATTGACTTTGCTTTTACTATATGATAATGATTATTTTAAATTGATTGATTTGTAGTTATATACTAACATAGAATATATGATGATTATATTTTTTAGGAAGATACAAAAATATATCAATTTGATATAATTGAATAAAAAAACTTGTACATTACATGCGTGTATTCTTCAAGTATTTTTTAAAAAATCGACTTTATCTATACTATTACTGAACATAATATATGATACATTAATAAAAGGTAAAATGGAAAATTAAAATGTTTTTGAAAATGTGTGAAAAAACTTTAAATTATTTATATTTTGAAAAAAATGAAGTAATAAGTTTACTTATCTAAAGCGTAATAACACAAGACAACATTTACATTAAAAACGTCAAATAGCATTAATTTGAAACAAACAAAAAATCTTAAACGACACTTAATTTGAAACTGAGTGAGTATATTGAATGAAAAACACTAATTTCTGCACAAATATGTAATATCTACCGAACAACATTTACTTATTTAGTACAAATTGTTGTATTAGACTACACATTCGGAAAACGCTATTATGGTTAGAATAAAAGTAAAATGTTTTGATTGACATATTCAATATTTACACCACCAAATATTTAATTAACTAAACAAATATTAAAATCTAATGGTAAGGAAATGTTACAGAAAATACTCGTCAAAAAATAAAATTAGGTAGCAAGAGATAAATTTGCAGTATGTTTATATCTTTTACTAAAAAAAATTTCAAAAATTATGAGTTAATTGCATTACTAATTAAATGTTTTGGTGTAATTTTTACTAAAAAGAAAAATGATATTTTTGCTAGCACGCATTTATTTCAAAAAAAAAAAGCATTTTATTTTTCTTAATAAAGGCTAGACAGTATTTAATTGCATGAGATTAAAATGTTTTCCGAAAGACTATAGACTTAATGAGTGAATAGCCTGTTTTAACAAATCTAACTTTAATCATACACCGTGGCGGAGCTAGAATAATTTTCTATGGGGTCAATATTAATTTCTTTTCTTATAAGAGATGAAACAGATAAAATTTAATCTTATATACGTGATTAATATAAACGTTTGAAATCAAATAACCCATATAATATAAACAAAAATGGATAACTTTAATCTTTATAAATTTCACAGGAGTCAACTGTCTGACCTCCTCACTCTCAACTAACTCTGCCACTGATTATACACACAAAAAAAAAATCAAATATCATAGTTAATCACATTCCCTACTTTTACCATCAAATTGTGAATCAATCAAGCAACAGTGGAATGTTTTATCATACAAAATAGTAGAAAAACACATAAAAAGATTTTACTTTTATTCTGTTTTTTTTTGTTGCCGCATATTTTCTATTTTTTTTTACGAAATTTTTTTATTTTTCTCTCACGATTCACAAGTTTTATGTCATAAATCTTAAAAACGGTAGGTATTTGTGCATAAAAATTCAAATGGCAAACTGTTTCTAACCAGTATTAATTTATCTTTTACATGTAAGGTTTCTTTAAAGTTAAATCTATTTTTAGAAGTTTTATTTTGTGACAACAAAAGAAATAACAAATTTTAGGTTAGTATTTCTATCTATGCAATATTCCATCGATTTCTACCTGTACTCCGTTTCGCGTTATACCTGCTCTAATTACACAACCAACAGTTCAAAGTTGTCAAAAAACAAAAAAACAACTAACGCTAAAAAAATACTAAACCATATTCTAAAAATTGCGAAAACGATATACAAAATGAACAGCCTATGATTCAAATTTGCCTAACATAAAGTACTCTAAACAAACACCTGGTTTTAATTACCAAACAGATCCATCTCCTAATAGCTTTAAATTCCCAATTTGTTGCCCCGTTCATTCTCATTTATCCTTCTCCATTTTCTTAGTTGATCTTTCTTAGAAAATCATTACGTACATACAAAGAATATTTTTCATACCATTTACTTAAGTCGAAGAGAGCTACATTTTGTGACCTTATACACGCAAAAAAAGGTAATATATGGCTCCACGTTTATCTTTCGTTTTACTTCTCATAGCTTTTGCTTTCGCCGGTAGAAGCTACGCCGCCGAATCATCTTCACCTTCTCCACCGACGATGACGTCAAACACAACTGGGAATTCTCCTCCTATGCCTCCCGCCGGGAAAAATTCAACGGACGGTCAAGATTACTCTGATTATGAAGTCCCCTTAAATCTAGCGCCGGGAGGAGTCGAAGTCGTGGAAGATTATGCACCGATAAATACTGTTAAAGGAGCTGATGAGCTTGCGCAACCCGAAGAAGATTTAAGTCAGAAAACAAGTCAGCCTGTGAACTCAGCTTCTTATTTCTCTTCTTCTTCCTACGTTATCTTTGTTGTTGCTGCTGGATTATTTTTGTTTTGAGGTTGAAAACTTGAAATGATGTCGTTTTTGATTAATATATACCCTATTCATGCATCATGCAAGATACAACGTAAATTTGATTCTTTTTCATGACTAAATCTGTAAAATCATCCATATATATCGACTGATTGAAAAGGGAGCAAAAAAAAACTTAAGATAGTTTAATAGGATAGAGAGGCGTCCAATACATTTTAATTATGAAAATTTCATAAACACTATCATAAACTGTTACCATCTATATATAAAAAAATTCAGAGTATAGAACTTAGATAACATGAACATGTTATCATCCAAATTTATTGACCTAAGTAAAATGATTCAAATAAAATTTATTGCTGAATCGGTTACTGATTACGGCTTAATATAACATGAAATAACTGATATAGAAAAGCATTCTGCGATTTTTGTGTCCAAACACTACTTTTCATTCATCATTTACTAAGGAGGAATTATCAAAACTCTTTAATTAATACAACAAAATTTGAAAACAGTAGAAGATAAGGATGAAAAATTATAAATATGCGACAACGAATCTAGAAAACTATTCATATGCATTGGTATAAAGTTCACAGCTGGCGAAAGAAATAACTTTTTTTTGGTCGAATTTTTCTTTGTTTTTGTCGAAAGAAATAACTTAGTCACCTTAATATAATAAGATGTTGAAATATTGTTTCTTGAGACCAAGCCATTGTATTCCGCTATATAATATAACAAAGTGGTAAAGAAAATAGAATGTTTCTTCAGTTTTGAAACTGGGACTTCTTATCATCCAGATTAATTAATGATTATATAATTTTTGATAGTTTAATTTTATTAGATTATTTACTGATCAGCAAGAAATCGGTCAGAAGATTCAGAACTTTTTGTAGTAGGATCGGTTATAAGAAAGAACTAAAAATAAAGAATTAAAAATAAAGTTGTGTGGTCGACATTCAAAAGAAATTTGTAAAACCTTTTATTATCAATCAGTTTTTCCCCCGAATTTTTCAATTAGTACTTTTTCGACTTTTCAGTTAGTTAAAATAAAAAATCTCTTCTGTCTTTAAATTAGCAATGGAGAATATTAAATTTTTTAAAATTAATTATAATATACTCCACACCCACTTTTTGGTACTTCAATTCAACTACCACTTTACAAACACCACTTGGTTTTGTGTTGTCGGCTTGCACGCGTGGGATATAATATTACCGTTAACTTTAAGTTCTTTAACCACATTGATATTATAATGAAAAAGGAGACAAAATGACAAATGATTGAACACTTACAAAGTTATTAATTAATTGTAAAATCTAATTTAGCCATACATCTCGTCTAACATACAACTAGTTACACCTATATATGTCTGTGTAAGAAGTGTAAACATGGCTTTGATTTTCTACAAGTATCTGTATTCATGCATACTGATCTATAACAAGAGGATGTAAGCTTTGAACCCATTTTAAAATTACTTATTTCGGATTTTATATTTTGTAATTACTAACTAATACCATCGATCAAATATTCATATGTTGGAGACTATTTCTTCTTTATGGAGACAGAAGAATGAGAAACATCCATAATCCCTTCGAAACTAGAGAGTTAGGGTTTCCAACATCTACAAACTTAACTCCCATCCAAGAAAGATCATTTAATTTCCACCTAAACATCAATTATATTGTAATAGCTATTTAAACTTTTTAATATACTTTCATGGAACATATGTTCTCCTGATACATGTTTGCATAAACCGAAGATATTAACAATTGTTTCCCTCAAAATGATTTTTTATATCCCAATCAAACTATTACATCACTTTTTTTTTCTTTCTAAAACAGACATTTAGAATAATGTTGAGAGTTTCTTTCAAACAAACAAAAAAATAGTGTTGAGTATGCAAATAATTTTGCGCTCAGAAAATCTGAGCTTCTAACTTAACAATAAGACTACCAGAATTTAGCTAATCACTAAATTCAAACCCGATCAATTGTGAGACAAGACAACAGATAACAAACATATACTCCTACAAAGCCAAGAACTTATAGCATTTCTATAAGAGAGTGTTTCAAGTAGATTAGAGCTAATTATTAATCGGTCGATTAAACAATTAATAAAATAAGGAATTAAACTAGCTAGACAGTTATTGGGAGATGAAGAAGTTTCAACTCCTTAAAAGAAGGATCTTGTAATAGAAAGACCTTGTCTCCATCTCCAACACCAATCATGTGTAAGTATTCTCTGTCTTCTCTTTCCTTCCCTTTGAACAAGAGTCTCTGCTCTATTGCCTCAATTCCACTCACTATTGCTATCATCATCTTCAATTCACCTGAAAAAAAACTGTATAATAAGTGATCGGTTCTATCAAAAGATGAACCAAATAATTTAAAAGTAAATATGTATAGTTAGTTGCTTCGTCATTAACCAACCAAATTAAAATCATATCAATTTATTTATTTTATAATGCTAAACTGAAAAATGTGCTATCCGACAATGAACCAATTTAAAAAGAGGACGCCACACAAATTTTTATTTAAATATTCATACTTAAAAGAAAATAAAACACTTAGTTTTGTAAGGGGGTTTCAACAACCCAAACAAAAACTAGCCATTCTAAATATACAAATATACATATGTTTTTCGACTATATAAATGTAAATATGTGCCTTATCAAATGTTACGGAACTGGAATATACGTGTGAAGAGTATATGTAACTATTACCGAAAGTCGAGTTTGCATCAATAGAGATTTCATAAGACAGCTGAGAAACAGTGGAGACTCTAAGGCTGATTAAATCTTCAGTGTTAGAATCTTCTGATCTCTTCTGAACCAGCATCCCTCCAGGCCTCATCTCCCATTTTATGTTGTTATTGTTACAAGATGATGATGATGATGATGATGATGACGACGATGTTGGTGATCTTTTGTTGTTGCTATTGCTCGTCCCAATTATTCCACACCCAAACCCAATGCAAAACCTCTTTGCCATTAATTTTCCCATTCTCTTTCTTTCTTTCTTTCTTTGCAAGATTCTTTGCAAGAAGACGAGTAATTTGCTGGCTTATATATAGATAGTGAGGTTTGGTACACATATTGATAAAGTACTATTAAATAAAATCATCATGTTAATAAAGTAGTAAATAAAGAAAAATAGAGTGTATATTCAATTTTATCTAATTTGCTTAAAACACCTTTTTATTTATAAAATAAAAATAAAAAAGATTGGTTTTTCTTCATAGATTCATAGAACAAATACATGTATCACAAGATTGGTTTTTCTCTCGTCTCTTTCTCTTTGATCTATTGCTAAGAGGTTATCTCTCCCTCCTCTTTCTCTCATCTTTTTATTGTTTTTTTCCTTCTTATCTATCTTTTATCTTCTTTTTTTTTTATCGATTTCCCTCCTTTTTTAGCTCAATAATTTCTCTTTTTATGTCGAAAAAAACAAATGAATCTTGTTAAAATTAGGGTTGGAGATTCTTATGACAAATAAAACTATAAAAACTATATTTCACAATATGTAAATGAATGAGATTCCATATTTAAATGAGGTTTGTTTATGTGTTATTCAACTTTCTATTTTTTGTGAAAAGTATAATTTTACGAATTCTATCTTTTAAAGTTTTGATACAGAGTTCTAGAAAATCAAGAACAAATACTTTATGTTACTTCAAGATTTATTTTCATCTCTTTGCATATCTAGAAGATCAGTGTTCTAGTTCATCACTAGCTCAACCATAGTTGTTTTTTAGATCGTGTCATGCAATTTCCCATAAATAATTGCCAGAGACAGAGTTACAACTTATGAATCATCGTCCAAATTTTTCTCTTTGAAAAAGGTCTATAGTAGTTTTACAAGATTATCTTCTTTCCCGGAATTTGATTCCGTATTATATGCCTTCGTTTTTCTTTTGTCCAATTTTATTGTGGTTTTGTTTTAATTCAGGAGTCAAGTATCTTTTTGTTTATTTTCTTGTCAACGAGTAAAGATCTTTATGATTGGTTTTCTAGTCTATTGCATCATTATTATCAAGAACAATTCTAATGTCCTCAAAGGACTCTAATTGTCTAAGAGAAATGATGACTACCAAACTGTCTCTTTTTCTGTGGCGATCTGTAAAATTTTCAATATCTGATAAACTTTTGTGTGTGCTAATTAAAAACTTAAAGTCATTCGAATATTTTTTCGTCCTGATGACAATTAGAAACATCAAGGTTTTCTACAAGTTTAGATTCCTTCATTTATTAAATGATACATTTGTTTTATATAAAATCTAGTGATATTCGGTTCCTATAATTTATAAATTGAATTATCTGAACTAAAACAGAAAAAATAATCGGATCGGATATACCACTTTTAATTGTGTTAAACTTCTCTTTAAATTTGGTAGTGAATGAATATTCTTCTGTTAATTCGTTGTTAAAGGGACATTGCATCCACTTTCTAAACCTATGATTTGTGTCATGTCATGGTAAAGCGTGTGGATTTTTGCGCTAGTTAGGTGAATAAAATCTTTTATATTCATATATTTGCCTCTAAAGATGTCCCTTGAGGTTTACTTTATGATGGTGAAGGCCGGTTTGGTTACCCTTTACGGTATCAACACACGTGGGTCGAAAAAGTCATAAAGATTACGATTTTGTTAATTATTATTATTGATTTGAAATCTATATAAATTTCAAACAACAACGATTTTTCTTTTGATTGAATCATTACAATGTACAAAACTAAAATCCTTCAAATTCTAAGGGAAATCTACTGAAACACACGACATGCATGTCATGTAAATTGTAGTATATCGTAAATAGATTTTTTTTTTTTTTGTACAAAGACTTTAAACTCATATATACGTTTATTGATATCTTGATCCAGAGGCTGGAAGCCAAACCCTATATAGAAATTAAACTAAACTAGATCATTAAGAGTATTTCAAGTATTTTTTTTTTTGGAATAGAATGTTAAATTATTCAAATAAAAAAAACACCGTGTTTACAACTTGTGCAGAGAAAGTTGTTGGTCCTAGATAATTAAAAACAGATTTTGAAACAAAAGCCTTTCATCTGGTGGAAAACCACTTCTCCATCCCTCCCTCATATCGAGCATCACCCACTACTCGTATAGAAGAGAGTCTATTCCATATCTGCTTATCGATGCTCTGAGTAAGCTGCTTGTCCGAGTTAGCTTGTTTGCTATGTCTTCTGTTATTTCTCTCCCTCCATATTGTGTATAGAGTAGTCTGAAAAACATATCGGCTTAACCACTGCATAATGTACTCCCGCTGATTGTGTTGGAGTTGATCGATGATCTCGTCCCAGTTGTTGGTGTAGTGAGGGGCCATAAGTTTCCGAGTTAGACTGCTCCATACCTTCTCCGTGAAACTACATTCAAAGAAAAGGTGATTTCGAGTCTCCATTCGTGCTTTGCAGAAAACACAGGAAGTATCTGCCCCAGAATTCCAGCGAGCAATGCGATCCCCTGTTGCAAGACGATTATGCATCGCAAGCCAACTGACGAAGGAGAATTTTGGTGTCGCGCGAGAGAACCAGATTTCCTTCGCCCAATCGCAGATGGGGTGCGCTGTCTTTATAATGAAAAGCGTGTCTTTGGAGCTGAACTTCTGGTGGAATCTGTCATTTCGACGTCTCCACAGAAACACATCTTCACCACTCAGAATATCCTTTTGCTTCTGCACATGAATTACCTCCTCAATAGAGTTGAGGATATCCACTCTGTGTCGTCTTCGACGGTGAGCGTGCAAGGCCATTGCGACAGTGTAATGGCTTGGTATTCCCAAATCAATACAACCTCTCTGACCAGTAAGAGTTATCAAATTTCCCAAGGGGCTCCAAGCATCGTACCAAAAAGAGGCGTGATCACCGTTTTGGATATCCACCCGAACAAAATCTTTAGCGAGATCTCTGTATTTAAGTATCTTCTTCCACATCCAAGAGCCAAGTGTTGAATAATCATTTGCAGTCCAGAAAGAGCCTTTCCTGATCAGATGCCGTCTGATCCAATCAACCCACAGAGAAGATTTCGACGCTAGAATTCTCTAGATCAACCTGAGACAGCTCATTTTATTAGCATCGGCGACTGATATTAGACCCAAGCCACCCTCGTTCTTTGGTTTACATACTTCTTTCCACGTGATTTTAGCTTTTCTTGGATTTAAATCTGGACCGGACCAAAGGAAAGCAGAGCACAACTTATCAATTTCCGAGATGCAGGCTTTTGGGAGTCGGTACGCAGAGATCTAGAAGTTTGTCAAACTTTGGATGACTGAGGCAATAAGTTGTAAACGACCCGCGAAGGATAGATAACGCGCAGTCCATGCACTAATGCGTTGCCTGATTTTCTCCAAAAGAGGACTATAGTCATGTGCCCTCATCTGCTTAGTGAGAAGAGGTAGTCCTAGATATCTCACTGGTAGAGAGCCAGATTCAAAAGGGAATTGATCCAAGATTGATTCCAGAGCTGTACCCGAAACTCCTGCCATATATAAAGTAGACTTCTCAAGGCTAATGTTGAGGCCAGAACAGGTAGCAAATTCTCGAAAAACTCCAAGTATACTCTCGATGGAGCTCTTTTTACCATCAGAAAACACAAGCATATCATCAGCAAAACACAGGTGTGTGAGTTTAAGGTTTTGGCATAAAGGATGGTATCTGAAACGTTTCGACACAGCTGCTCTGTCCAAGAGTTTCGAGAGAACGTTCATACATATTACGAAGAGGTAAGGTGAAAGGGAACAACCTTGGCGGAGGCCCCTCTTGCTTTGAAAATAGCCAGCTAACTCTCCATTGACTTGGACAGAAAACGATGCAGAGGTGACACAAAACTTGATCCAGTGAATGAATTTCGGAGGTAGATTCAAAGCCAAAAGCGTAGCAAGCAAGAAAGGCCAGCAAACCGTATCAAACGCTTTGGAAATATCTACTTTGACTGCACATCGGGCTGAGATAGATGGTTTTTATTTCAAGTATTTCAACTAAGCATATGCTGGTTTGTTACAAAATTTGTTGTCTTTATTTAAATATTTACCACTGTTTGTCGTTGTTATAGAGAGGAAAAAGAGAAGAAAAATCCCAACATATTTTAAACTGGTTTTCAGAGTCGTCGGATTGAATCCCAACATATTTTTGTTATAAACTAGTTCAATTTCTTTAATTGAATTGATGATATGGTACGTCAAAAGCGGCTACCGTCCGTCCTCACTAAGGTGTTGATTGGTTCACCCGCTATCACCCGCAAACGCAGCGTTTGCGGTTGGTAGCGGTTAGTAGTGTTTTATCACAATCATAGAAATCGCTGCAAACCGCTCTGTATCGTTTTATACCGCTGAAATCCAAAAGCTGCTTCCCGCCAGCGTTTGCGGTTGCGGGCGGTAGCGGTTGGGTAAAAAAATTAAAAAAAAAAAATAACGCTAGAAAAAAAATAGAAGATCACGTTAAAAACAATTATAAAACCCTAACCCTACTAATCTTCTCCTATATATATAAACTTAAACCTCTTACTTTTTCTATCAAGTTCTAGTCTCTAATCATGACTTTCATATCAGTTGAAGAAAATTAAGATACAAGTAAGTGCCATAATACTTTGGTTTAATTCATTTATATTATTTTTTTTGTTTCCACTTTTAAAGTAAGAAATTATAAATATGTATCTTATTAATAACAAAATTAGTTTGTTATAATTCTTTTTTTTTTGTTCTTCAGAAAGTTACATGATCAAATGAGATGACATGTGCGTTACTTCAACAAATCATTGTGGAAAAATAAACTCAAGATAAATATTCTAGATTTTTCAATACACTCCAGAAAGAACGTATTTTGAATACTAATGAGCAATTTGGAGTTGATTTGAGTTGGGATTGTGCAAAAAATCGATTAGATCAATTGAAAAAATTTTACATCATGCATAAGATATCAGAAAATCTACGTATTGGAACAAATTTTTTCCAGTCTATTACATTATTAGACACAATTTTGGGTGATGTTCCCAATAATTGAAATAAA